CTGCCCCCACTGTACATACATACCTGGTTACGGAAGGATTCTGTTCCTGAAAATCCACTTACATGGGTCATTCATGATGTAACATGATAATAAATGAACAAAACACTCAAATTATACTTACCAGAAACAATGTTGAGTGATGCAGGAGGTGGTGAGGTGGCGTTGTGGGATCAGAGTTACTGGGAGTTACCTCCTTAAAACACCGATTTTAATGTCTACAATTCCTTTCTGGAATCTTTTATCACCACTGCTATTAGCTGATAAGGCAACCATCTTGTTCATATGGCACAAACTCCCTAACCATGCATTCGCCGCTTATTTCAGTGAAAATGATAATGGTTCATTGAGACATGCTCACCACTTTTCTTAAAAGTAAATTCAAAATTTCATGTCCATCCCTTAGTTACTACGCTTCCGTAACCATTGGAAGATATAGAAACGACGGTGAGACAACCGAAGGCCAGCGAACAGGTGTCTCTGACGACAAACTACTGGGACCAGCAGCGCGACTTGGTCGATGGCCGATCTGGTTCATCAAGTCTCCCCAACCTTGGTTCATACAACACCACATCTCTTCAGTCAGTCAGTGAAAAATCTTACTAACGGGAAAGTTGAACCCTCCTCAGCTGGGCAGGGTTCACCTGGTTGTACTCTGAGCTGACCTAACTAGGGCGGCTGACGGTCACTCTCTACCTGTCCATGAAGTACTGAGAGTACACTGAGTGCAGACTGAGTGAATGAAAGGTCACACGCTGGGACCGAGTTTTAGTGGTTTACATAGAGACATTCATCTCCCCAGTATTGGGTGTATGTGATAAAATAACTAAGTCCAGGTGTGTAATCAACACTCATGGTTGATTGCACACGTGGACGAGGGGTCCTCTTCAAAATGGTGGAAAGGCTGTAGCACCTAGTATGGGTGTATTCTGAGCATATGTGTGAAGCATGCTACGGGTGATGGTGGTGAAATGTGATTAGAATAACCAAGTCCAGGTGTGATATCAACGTTCCTCATGTTTGTGGATAGGGTGAGTGTCTGAACACTTCTCCAAAGGTATGATGCCTTGAGGCATGCATTCAGTTCATCAGCTGGAGTGCTGAGGAATGACAGGTAGGGTCTGGCGAAGTCTCCAGTAATGACCATTATGGCAACACCCATGAGCTGGTCATTTTCTGGTATGTCTTACAGGTCCTGTCCAATGCTTCAAACGCTAACTTGTGAGACATAGTGCATTCATCCCAGACTCTGAGGCTGCATTTTTCTAAGAGTTTTACCTTTGCTGATCCGTTTTTGATGTTGCACATTGGATTCTCATTGTGGCGAGGTTGAGGCAGTTTAAAAGTTGAGTGCAGTAAGTCCTCCTTCTAGTAGTGTTGCAGCAATGCCTGAGGATGCCACAGCAAGAGCAATTTTCCCTGATGACGTACGGCCAACAGAAGGTTGATCAGGAATGTCTTTCCTGTCCCGCCAGGTGCATCGAGAAAGATCATACCTCTCTGCTCCGCTTGTATAAGCACAGATCTGTTCATAAGCATTTGGCAGTGAGGCAACAAGTGAGCTCATTTCTTCAAAAAAATTCACCAGAACTTCAACTGAGTAGTCTGTCTCTCTGAGCAACTCCTGTTTGCAACTACAGTACTGGTTCTTCTTGGTTTGGGAAGGCAATCCAAAATCAGTCAGGTTTTTCCGCATAGCTCCATCACTTTGTCTTCCAGCATGATCAGAGGCCTGTTGAACATGTCATCCATGAACTCAATCTCTTGACCTGGATGTTCTCTTCTTGTGATGAAGCAGATCCTCTGAAAAGACTTTCTTGGTGGTTTCCAGAGCTGGCTTGGGTTGGAAATCCACATGTAACAATCATGATGGCAAACAGGTTCCTCATTTTCATTGGCGATTGGTAGCTGCTGCCTCCTAATGTGTCATTCCACTGACCATCATCTTTCAATGATAGCCAAGGAGTTGCGCTTCCTGAAAGGTTCTGCAGACTTGTCCATTCACTGTCTTAGTGCTGCAAATGATGTTGGGCCACGGATGTGGTGCAAAAAGTAGTCTCAAACAATAGCATTTAAAGTTGTTGGGGTGAACCGTGTAGACCGTCCCAAGTTGCCCGACTTTATCCTTGGATATCCTTCAACAGCGGATCCTTGAGCTCTTCTCTGGAACTTTTTCATTGAAGCCTGCCATATGTAGAACTTGGAGTGCGTCAACATACAGGAGTATTTCAGCAAACTCATCTTCCTGTAGCTTGAAAAAATGCAGTGAGGTCGAGCTCATTAAGCTGGAAGCGATGGGGCGCTACCCTCAGGACTCCACATTGTCTCACTGTTCAGTCCCAGAAAGGTTTGATCCCAGAAAGGTGAACAAACAGATAGACAGACTTCTTTGTTATATATATATATATATATATATATATATATATATATATATATATATATATATATATATATATATATATATATATATATATATATATATATATATATATATATATATATATATATATATATATATATATATATATATATCATCACTACGTATAACACCACCCATCATCATTACATATAACACCATCCATCAGCACTACATATAACACCACCCATCATCACTACATATAACACCATCCCTCATCACTACATATAACACCATCCATCATCACTACTACATATAACACCATCCATCATCACTACTACATATAACACCACCCATCATTTCTACATATAATAACATCCATTGTCACTACATATAACACCATCCATCATCATCACTACATATAACACCATCCATCATCACTACAGATCGTAGTAGTTTCGAAGATTCTCATCGGACACACACACAAACAAACAAACACACAGATATACTTCTTTGTTATATATATATATATATATATATATATATATATATATATATATATATATATATATATATATATATATATATATATATATATATATATATATATATATATATATATATATATATATATATATATATATATATATATATATATATATATAAAATCACGAGAAGGAAACAGCGGGCACCTTATCTTTCATCTTTATTCAAGGCATCTTCAGAGGCAACTGGATTACATGGACAGAGAGAGGCTTAAATATACAGGGTGACCTTAAAAACATGAGGTCAGGTCATAATGATGTCATCCACTAATCCTCACACCAACACACATAAGTACAATATCAGAACAGCATCTGAAAGCAGTGCCTTGTTCGTTCATATTAGGAATAATAATCATCCCATTGGCTGGCAAAAAAGCTTAAATATTTAAATCATCTTGTGTCACAGAAAGACTTCTGGTTGAAGCTAGTTTGATTAAGGAATTAAAATCAATAAACCTTAGTGATGGTCAGTTCAAAACTGATAATATGTTACATAAATTTATTTGTCAGTGGTCCTTTTTGAGCCTGACCTGACTAGTCGCAATCCTCCTTCTCTTAAGCTCCTCGTGTGTGTTGGTGTGAGGATTAGTGGATGACATCATTATGACCTGACCTCATGTTTTTAAGGTCACCCTGTATATTTGAGCCTCTCTCTGTCCATTACAGTTACCTCTGAAGATGTCTTGAATAAAGGCGAAAGATAAAGGTGCTCCATTGTTTCCCTTTCCGTGTGATTTTATCAAGATTTATCTTATCACGTTTTCATTGTGGATCTATGATATATATATATATATATATATATATATATATATATATATATATATATATATATATATATATATATATATATATATATATATATATATATATATATATATATATATATATATATATATATATATATATATATATATATATATATATATATATATATATATATATATATATATATATATATATATATATATATATATATATATATATATATATATATATATATATATATATATATATATATATATATGTGTGTGTGTGTGTGTGTGTATGTTCGGTAATACTCATGACGTTGCTTGCTCTCTCTGACCTCTCACTCTAACTTACAGCCAATAGTTAGGCTGATTTCTCTTCTGCTGCTGCTTCTTGGTTAACATGTTGATAAGGGATAGCAGGGGTGGTAAGTGGACCTCTACTGGGTAGAGCATCATCAGCGTGTCTTTGTTTTCTGAGGCCTGGGCCTTCCCAGGTGTGCCCCTCACACCAGCTGGTTGCCCAATGGGTGGCTGACTGGGATGCTGGTGAGGGATGAGCCGTGCCAACGATCAGTGATGGTGGAACTGTAGGCAGTCCTGCGGCGAGGGCGGATCCAAATGGATGGATTTGGATGCCTGCATCTGAAGGGATATAGAATCTGTCCCCACCAATGAAGGGGTTAGTGGGACAGTAGTGCCTGATGGAGGGCTTGGGTTACTGGCAGAAGGTAGGGAGCATCTAGAATGATGGGTCTGGATACTTGCTGTAGGTGTAGGTGAAGGGGAGTCTGTCCTCACCGATGGAGGGGTTAGCAGGACAGTGGTCCCTGATGGAGGTGTCTGGTCACCATTGGGAGAGTGAGTCAAGAGTAGACTGCCTTCCTGGAGTTCGAGCACAGCCTTTTATACAGGCCGCGCATGCACAATGGTGACCGCGGTAGACTCCACACCCCCTCCTGCCATCCTGTTTCGACCCGTGTCGGATTGGCGCGATTGTGGCTTCGCTCACCCGCTGGTGCAGGCTGAATACTTGTTCCCTTTCAGCAGCTGTGACCCACTGGGGAAGTGACAGATCCAATAGGGGTCTTGGAGTCATTGCCGGGGTGTTCCTGGGGTCTGTGGTGGCTACTGCTGCTGCTGCTGCTGCAGGTCCTGCTGGCATCACAGTAACACTAAAAAAAAAGATGGGAAAGTGAATGAGCAAGATTGATCAAGAGTAAGAATGACAGGTACAAAGAATACTTAAAGGGTGGTGAACCTGAGACAGGTAATAGAGGGATCTTGATTGCTGAAAAGTGGGTGGAAAAAATGGTTTTGAAGCTGCTAGTAGGCAAAACTCTGGTCATTGTTATATCTGCATATGGTCCACAGGTTGAGCTAAGTAAGGAAGAGAAGGACAAGTTCAGAGATGAGTTGTTGCATATAGTGTCCGAGCTGGGTGAAAGAGATACTGGGTGGTGACCAAAATGGTCTTGTTGGTGTACACACTGAGGTTATGAATGAGTTGACTCCAGTGCAAATATTAATTTAATCTGGAATTCTGTGTACAATGTATGTTTTGTATTTTTCTCTTTTCATTTCCAGGAAGAAACCATAGACCAGCAAATCTGTTATTTTTACAAAGGTCACACTGGATAGCACCCATCTCACATGTGTCTGGCCCAAGCAGGATTAATGCATTAATGCTTGTACACCAACACCCCTTACTAAGAACAATTGCTAACTTAATTTGTGGTACCTTTACCCTTCTTGGAGAAAATACTGTACTATACGTTGTATGTTTCTCATTGTGTTCATATGTATCCCTCAGTATCAGCTGAATCCTCCCATCTATAATTAATAGATGTTTGTCTTTTGCAGCTCCATTGTCCACGGGGTTGAGCCGTTTTTACAGTCACCGTTGCCTCACCATGATAGGTGTGATCATCGTCTCCCTGGCAGTCTTTCTCTGCTCATTTTACAAAAGCCTTATTTGGCTCTACATTTGCTTTGGAGTGTTAGCAGGTATGTGCCTTTCCTCTTGCTTACTTTGATTGTTTTCCGTTACACTCTGTGTTTACTTGTCTTTGTTAATTTTGTCTCACTTTACTTGCTTTTTACGTGTATCTTGTCTGTTTCTTGTCTATCTTATGTTTTTTTTATTTATCCATGTTATTTCTGCAATACAGTATTGTTTTCCTTTTTTTTTAATTTCACCACTTACATGTATCAGCCATTTGGGCAGTTGGTCTATCCAGTGTTAGTACAGAAGGAAACCGGAGACTGGATAACACTTCCAGGAATGAGAGCTTTCTGGGTAACGAGACAACTCTCTCAAAACCGGAAAAATATCTCTCATCCCCTGAATTTTCCGGGAAACGGAAAAATTTTCTCGGAATTTCCAGAAAATGCGCCTGATTTTCAACTCTCAAACCTGGAAAAAAAAAACCCCAATCCTGGAATTTTGGGGAATTCTCCAGGTATCAGGAAAATCTTCTCGGAATTTTCCGGAAAATGTGTCCCTCGTTTGTGAGAACATTTCAGTTCCGGCTATCGAAGAGTTCCGGGTTTGAGGAATTCCAGTTAACAGAGATATTACTGCATATATTTTTTTTACAGAATCCACTTCAGGGCCTGGGGGCAAAAATATAATAATAATAATAATAATAATAATAATCATAATCATAATAATAATAATAATAAGTAAATACAAAAAAAAGGAAAAAAAGACCCATAGTGAGAAACGATACATGTACAGTCACGTTCAAGATTCTTCGAACACTGCTGGAGACAGCTGGCAACTCAAGGCTGTTTGTTTACTATACTACGTAGTAAAAATTATGAATGAATGTAAAAGTGATCGGTGATTGGTTACTTAGTTCCCCGTTGTTTAATTAATGGTTGGACTTTGTTGTTTGGCATTATATTATGCCTTTCTGCTAGTATATACTGTTAATTTGATTTTAATATGGATAGAGCAATGAGCCAACCTATATGAATTTATATTTAGATAAATAAACATAAGTAAAAATCGGTAAGTATGTTAAAGAACATCATGGCATCATCTGGCACAGCTGTGTGCAGGCTGTTTATGAGGTTGCCTGTTTATCATTAATTTATACTAATATTGTCTTCAAACGTTTAATCCCTTTCGGGTAATTAATCCAGTTGTATGCAACCGATGCTAAACAAAACTTCTTTCTAAAGATGCTGATTTCTTGCAACACAAACTGCTGTTTTACTTCCCTGTGTGTGTGCATGTGGAGTGTGTGTGTGTGTGTGTGTGTGTGTGTGTGTGTCAGTCTGTGTCTGTATTTAATAATGACGTTGTTCAATTGAAGGTGATGGTAATTAATCTTACAAACCATCCGTCTGATGGTGTGAATTAGTACTGTAGCATATGGCTAATACTTTTACAAGCCATTATCTAGCAATATCATTGTCATTCCAAGACTATGAATATTGTAAGCACCAAATGGCATTTCTTTCGTTGAGTGACTCTTTGCCCTCCCCACCCCCTAAATCCTTGTTTCTGACTTGTGTCGATTATGTCACGTTTAGTCTGGTGTCTTTAAAAAAAATATTCAATTTTTTCTAAAAATGTGTATGATGTATTATAAATTTGTATCTTATTTATTTATTTATTCGTTTATTTTTTATAAATGCATAATAAATATAAATACATCGCTGACGTTATTGGCGGGAAGGTGGGGGAGACAGAGGTGTTGTCAGTGCTGACTACCCTTCCACTCCCTCAATTGTAGAAGGACCCTGCCAACATGGAATACTACACGCAGAAAATCACTGAACGTGGAAGAATAATCGGCATGAAAGAGGCTGGGTTTTCACCCACTGAAATTGCACGAGAATTGGGTTTTTCTCTGTCAACTGTATATTATTGGATTAAGTGATGGGAAGAGGAGGGAAGTTTCAAGGACCACCACAGGATGGGAATGCCGCGCAGAACAACACTTGCACAAGTTGTAGCCATCCGGAATTTCGCTGAGGCCAACCCTTTCAAGACTTCATTTTCAATAAGAGAGGATCTACAATTAAATATTTCCCCTTTAACAATCAGGCGAAGACTTCACGAAGGAGGCATTCACCATAGAACTCCCGCCACCAAGGAGAAGTTAAATGAGCGACATCGCGAGGGCAGGTTGCAGTTTGCTCGACGGTATGCTGAAGAAGGCTTCAATTTTTTGGGAAGAGTAATAATCACTGACGAAAAAACTTTCTCATCTACCTCTCACGGAAGGTTGCATTGTTGGAGGAGGAACAACACCCGATATGCTAGACAGCATATTTATGAGGAAGCAAGGAGTGGGCATGTGACTTGCAATGTTTGGGGATGGATATATTTGCACGGCGTTGGAGAGCTGACTGACATAGAAGGAAGATTCACAGCTGACCAGTATTTAGAAATACTTCAGAAAGAAATCTGTTTAGCATCGTTTCCCGAAAAAGCACGTCTGCGTTTTTTGTTTTCAACCTTCGTCCAGTTGTCGTCCTCACTGGCGGTAACAGTGGTAGTGGAGTTGTTGGGGGCGGTGGCAGTGGTGTGGACGATGTTGTTCTTGCTTTTCAGGGCTTCGTGGAAGGCCCGCAGCTGGTCCGCTTTCTCTGTACGGAGCCTGTCATGGTTCGGGTCGTTGGATTGACGGTTCAGGTGGGGGTTGCGGTTAGGAGGGCGGGCGTACGCACTCCATAACCGGTGGTTAAGTGGTGTTTTTTTTTTTTTTTTTCAGAGACCCTCTGCATGCTACCCTCACCTAGTTGGATAAAACATAAAACCAGTCATGAATAAGACAAATATATATCTGAGAGTATCAGAAATAGAAAAAAATAATCTGAGCATGCTTGAAAACATACATATCGACACTAAGAGCATTTAGATTGACCAACTACATCAATTTCTATAAAAAAAAATCATCTTTCGAAGGTCAATTTGGCAGCCATCTTGAAAAATGGCCGCCATCTTGGATTTCCAAATGGCATATCAGGTAGATTTGACAAGTAGCCCCTAGGGTATGATCATGCCAAATTTCATGCTTGTATCACCATTTGCACAATTTTTCCATTATCCGCTCTACTAATGTGGATGAGTAACCTATGCCCGGGTGTGCTAATCCCTGTAAAAATTAAAAAAAATAACAAATTAAAATAAAATGAACTGGACATTTTTTCTCGGTAAATATATATAACAATAAGGGAGACAAGGCCATAGGTATAACATCCGACATAGAATTGGAGCCAAATTTTAACATTAAACACAACACCACATTAGAGTACGGTCTGACATAATTAAGTTGATACCAGATTAGAAATAATGATTCACACTGTACAATACTTCAGTTTCTGTAAAGATCTCTGTTACTTAGTTGGCTGTTCAGCTCCACAGCACAAGTTCACAAGCTACTCATGTTAGGGTTCCACATGTCTGGCCTCAGAGTACTGCGAAATTCTGGTAAAGACTGTCGGGAAAATCAGCTGGTTCTCTTTATATGTAGGGCCAAAAACTGACAGGGGGCGGAGCTTTAGGTGGAACAACTGTGAAGATTGTTTAGTTTGTTGAGGAAGAGCAGCTCACAAGGATGGAAGTTTGTACACAGGATATTGGCTGGCCTATTCATACAGGCCCTTTCTATAACACTCCTAAATGAAAATGGAATAGACCAATCAAACCACAAGGATCTGAAATCCAATGACCCATAGATATGTTGTTTGTGGGTTAAATCAATAGGAATTCAATGTATTTTCTATTTTTTTTACATTTGGGGTTTGCCTGTTCATTTTCTAGAGTAGACTCATCAACAAGTGACTCTGACATACACTATTACCTTTCTATACCAAAACAGTTGGTATGCAACCATTTTGGTATAGGAATTTTTTGGGTATAAAACGAATAAATAAAATCTTCCTTTGAAAATGCTTAATATTTTTAGTCATGATAAATTGTCACAATACAGTACAGTATGGTCGCATTTTACGCTGGTTTTACATGTGCAGTTATCGCTTATGCAATTGGTTGAAATGTGACCATAGATTTAGCTCACGTGGAAAGTCATGGGTAGAGTGGGTAGCGGTATAGCATTAATTTAGTTTTGTTTTGTTTATTTAGGTTAATTCGACAAAAACGGGCTCTAGGTTACTCGAATTACTTAAAAAATTGGTGCTTGAGAGATGTTGAATTCTGGCAACATTGTTAGGGAGAGCAGGAGCGATCAGCTGATACCGCTCTGTACTGTACTAAACAAGAGACTGCAATAACACATCTAGGATTGATTGTTTGTTTTTTGGGGAAAAGTAATTATTTTTTAATGATATTTTATTAACCAGGCACCAAATTAACCTAAATAATATGGGAATTATTGTGAAATTGCATCCTGTCATTACTAAGGGATCGCAGGCCGCCGAATGGGAGGTGGCGAGTTGTTCTCTCTCCTTCCCTCCCCTTCCTCAGTCACCCCTCACCGATTATGCACCCAAACGTAGTTTTGTATCGTAATATAATTCATATTTTATTCCTATACAATAATTCATTCATCTTAATCTATTTCATAATATATCCCTATAATAAAATCGACTTTTTGGAACCTCATGGTTATTTCTGATTCTTTCTGAATTCAAATTGTTTAATTAATTTTTGAAAAGAAAAACATACGAATTAAGCTGAAATCCAAATTAATATATGTACAGTACAGTGTACTGTATATTTCAAGTACTTTCGTCTTTATTCAAGACATATTCAGGTCATGAGACCCACTGATTCCCCACCCTGACAATGGGTGACCTGATAATGCATCAGGTCAGTAATATAAGACCACTAATCTCTCACCCCAGGTTCACTGCAAATAGGAGAAGGGTTTATATACAATGGGTGATGTGATATTGCATCAGGTCAGGGCAGTAACATGAGGAGAAATTCACTTTTTATCCCACAGACATAATGTTTCTGCCTTATCTATATTATCGATTTATTCTTTAATTACTGTTTTTCTTCCTCTCTATTTTTCTTTTTATTT